TTTTCACTTATTAGTTCCAATATTCAAGTTGGTATTTGCATATGGAAATCATTGATGATAATTGACTGACATTTAGGATAGTTGATTATCTTTGTTTGAGGTTTTATTTAATTATTGTTGATGTTTGACAATTTGTCATTCTTCAAGATGATGAGTTGTTATTTAACAGTGATTTTGTATCATCTATTAATGGGATAATTGATGATCTTTAGTGATGGCTTATTATTATTTTTTGTGGCTTTTTAGCTTTTTGTATTATCACATGCTCTTTATGGTTTACTCTAAATTTGTCTCTTGAGTTTAAGATATTCAGTAGAATGTTACTGAAGCTTTCTTCAACAACTCTAATTCCTTAATGTTGTTGACTGGGATCTATTCAAATTAGTTAATGTGATAGTTAGTATAATTGAGTGTTTGTTGACCATTGTAATATTTATTTTGTTTTATTGATTATTATTAAAGTTGGTTTCAATAGATTGGAATGTTATTTCTTTTAGATGATATATTTATAAACATTTTACTTGTTTATCAATGATACTTTATATTCTTTGAGTTGCCTTTCATAATTTTCTTAGCATGCTATCTGCAATCTTTAGTAGTTTAGTTTTACTATTGAGTTTTCAACAAAATTCAATAGTAAGTATATCATTAAGAAAACTCAATGGTATACTTCCTATTGAATTTTGTTGGATAATTAATCTTATGACTTTGCACTATCATGATCTTGGTGGTTCCTATAATACTAGTTTATTAGATAGCTTAATTGGAATGCTTTTGTGTTTTAATATAAAATAAATTCACCAATAATTCATTATTTCTAAGATATCTTTGTCTATGACTTTGATATTGTCCATCTATTGATCTTTGGGTTTGGGACAATACTAATTTTGACACTTCATTTATATAATAAAATTTTTAATCATAGGGTAAGTATTGTCAATTAGTCACATCATCCACCTCTGTCTCAATGTTCTTTATTTTGTTAAAAAAAGTGTGACTATGTAAATAACTCTAATTGCTTATTTATAGTAGTCTACCTAAACTTTATTGATGGTTTTGGTTTGTTTGCTCATGAAGGTTGGGGCCTCTATCTTCTCTCTTTATGTCACTTATAAGTAAAAGCATATTATCTTTAATAAGCTTAGATAAAGAAGGTGCCCTATAACTCATTTAAGTTAGTGCATTCTCACACCATAAACTTTTTCTGAAGTTGTTTCTTTGGTGGTGGTCTAGACTAAAGTATACATCGATGAGAATATAAATATTCCTTAAGAGGGGGAAGAATGTCGTGAATATAATTATAGGTATCAAAAGTTACTTGTTAGCAAATCCTTTTAGATACTATTACAATAGTAAAAAATCGATATTGCTAGACCCTTTATTAGTCCCTCTTATGTATTACTAAACCCTTTATTAATCCCTCTTATGCTAGTGGAGCATATTTAACCCAATAAAGACTTCCCATCTCATTATATCTTGCATTGAATAGTGACAAAAACCCTTATATATTGAGTTTTAATCCTTCAATATTGTTAAATGAAAATTTACCATATCCATTAAACACCTTTGCTATTATAGCCCATATCTTAGTTCTATTTGGTCTCATTAGGTATTTATGGAAAGTGTTTAGATCTATAAGACATGTATATCTGCGAAATAGGGGAGGGGTGGGGGGGGACGGGGGGTTTCCAAATATATAGTAGGGATAATAAGTATGTTACGCATGGTTGATCAACCTAAGGTATAATTTAGCTCATGCTTGCATATTTATCTTTGTTTTGCATCTAACTTGGGTTTAAGCTAAATCTAAATACTAATTAGCATACTTATATCCTTGCAGTAGCCAATTGATATACTAAAATAGTGCCAAACTTCATGCAAAAGTCATCAATAACTTTTTGAGATATGCAAATACCCATTCATAGTTCAAAGCTAGATAAAAGATGATGTTGATGACTTTAGCAATGCTCACAATAGTGCAATATAATTAGAAAATTGATCAACAAAATGACTGAAATATTGCACATTGCCTAGGAAATACTATATATCATTCACATATTTTAGAGTAAAGAATTTTAGATAACCTATCATAATAGGGAACTTTAAAACAAAATACTCCCATTATGCTTCATTTCAAAATGAGATTTATATACCTAAAGACTTTGAGACTTTTAGATAACACATTTCTCCAACATCTTCTTGACATTTGTGTATATAATTTTTGATTTTCTTTAATGAAAGACACTAGATAAAAATTTTAATTGGACAAGCATCCCTAGTTGGAGTAAGATTATGTATTGCAATCTTGGCTATAGATGACAAGTCAAAATCAAATAAATCAACATACTCTTTCTTGAACCAGTCAATTGCTATAACACAAAAATTGTCACTATCTAAGGGATTTGAAAAGGGAATAAAATAGCAAAAATAGAACATAATAGAAACAAATAAAAACACAAAAGTCATAAAAGCAAATGTAAAAGTAAAGGGATGAAATAGAATAGAAGTGAGAGGAATGGTATGATTGTGTTACAATTAATCTATACCAAGATGATGTCAAAAAATTGATTCAACACCACTTGCGATGATTAAAACTCAAACATATGCACAACTAGGTTTGCCTCATCCTGTGCATGTGCATGTGTATAGCTGTTGCCATAGAAAAAAAAGACTAACTCAAGTGCATGATATAATTATAGACAACAACATGCTTAATGATAGAAAATAAATTCAAGCATATATCAACTAATATGGAGAGGATAATATAGAACCTTTTATTTTAAAAAGATAAAGTAGTCATTTATTTAATCGCACAAGGACCCTCCATTACACATGCATTCTAGAAGAGTCTATATGTTATTGTAATAGTGCCAACAGAACATTGTTTACGCTAAACTTCCACCTAGAAAATAGAGGATGCCAATCTAAAAAATGCTAACAACACTAATACTTATGGCTAATTTCATCATATGTTTAGTAGTGAACATCACGACCATGGACACAATCACGTCTTTACACTTGTCCTTGAACACAGGCAAAAGTAATGTCAACCTTCATTGGAATAAGATCATCTCCCACATGAAGTAGAGATGACGTATGTGTAGTGATAAATAAAAGAGGTGATATCTCATAATATATTATGTCAATTGAAAAGTATTATCAAAGGTGGTTGGGGCAAGTTTATACACAAATCTCATGAAATCTTGACAAAGCATTAACCACAACATTCCCAACTTAATCCACTCTAACATATTTGTTTCATACAAAGTTAAAAGCTTTGAAAGCAAATACTAAATTGCATAATTGACTCAAACAGCCTTAGATAGAGAAGATGGAGTTGCTAAAAAGCATTATTAGAATCATTAACATGAGTACTCAAATTGAAATAAAGAAGGTGTCTCTAACGAGTTTAGCATAAACTAAACAAAGGAAAGGGGAAGGACTACTATAAGTGGCCTAATGAATCTCTAAGTTGGAGATATTATACTTGTTAGAGGATAGGAAAGGCATAATGAGCATTCGGTGTCAAGCCATTAACGAACATTGGCTTGGTGCTAAGGATAGAAATAGTAATATATACTGGTGCGACTTTATAAAATAGTTTATCGTTTAATGAAGACATCAAACTTCGTGTATGGGTGGTGGAGTTATAAGACACAAATCCCTAAACCTTAAAGTGGAGCCAAAAAGGTGCCATATAATAGTGGCCAAAACAGAAGCCAAATGAGTGTCCAAAATGTGTACTTACAGATGTCTAGAAAAAAAATTTTATTTGCATTAGTGGTTACTTACAAATTATTGTACCACTGCAATGTTGTCCACTAAAGATATGTGGGAAACTCACATAAACACTATACATCATCCCAAGAATAATAAATAGCAATCATTGTAAAGTGATCAAACTAATAATATATATCATACCAAGGATTTTCATAGAAGAACTTTAGCCTAATGTGAGGATTAGGAACAAAAGTAAGAAGAGCCATATAATAAATACTCCCATCAATTGTGTCTGATTGTTTAATAGAAATCATGTCATTAAGCATTTGCTACTTTATAGTCAAAAAATGAGGAGGCTATTACTTTGGCAAAGATAATTAAAGTTGCCTTTCAACTCCACCAATATGAGTGCATGGAATATATATATACTTATATATATATAAATAAATAATATTAACCCAAAATTCGTAACTTATATATAAGAGTGAGTGATTCTAATTAAAGTGAATCAAACAGCTATCAAAGTCCCACTATACAGATATTGTATTCTAGCTGTATATTTGGATCTCATAAGCCTGACTTTGCTACAGAACTTTCAAGTGTATTTTATTATATTTTCAAATTAATTTATTCATTTAGATTAATATTGAATTTATAATTTATAAATATGTTTATAATTTATAAACATTACTATGTTTCATTTATTTTAACATCTAATGGTTGATAAATAATAAGATTAATCTTGTATTTAAAATTTACAGTTAGACTATTAAACAGTAAGCACTCTTGTTAAGCAAACCAAGCATGAGTGCATCAGTAAACTATTTAATAAACAGAATATTTCAAAACAAGTTCTAAAATAACATACTGCAATTAAACTTTTGAACTACTTATTGAAGAATCTTGTAATATATTTGTGATTTTCTTCTCAAATACATATCACACCCCCCTAAAATGTTTTCTTCAAATTCCATTTAGAAAACTTTGAAGTGTTTTGGCAATTCTTCAGCTCTCTCATATTTTAAATTTCTTTAGGTTTTTATATGCGTAAGTCCACATGAATGTAATGACCAATATATAGTGATAAAAAGATACTTGTACTTTAGTTTGCCTGTAGGTGTATCCGCTCCACCTAGCTCTGGATCACATAGTACCTAACTCTCAATCATGACTGTTTGCTGCTGCAAGCCTGCAGCTCTCCCTAGATCGTGATGCTGTGGCCATACCTAGCTCTGGATCTACTGCATAGCATAGTCAAAAGAGCAAATTTCATGGCAGTGTATAATTGATATATTAATATAAAGTTTGGATTATAAAGTGGTTATTTTACGAAGTAGTGGGGTATGATGACTGTCCGTTCATCCCACACATCCCTTCTCCATCCTTTTTCTTGATTTTCATGAATCCATCCTCCCCCCAGGAAGTTCCCCACGAGTTTTTGATGATCCAGTAGGGCATCCCACCTTCGGTTCCATATCCAATGACCAAGACCGCATGATCCCGCGAATTGCAGCACTGACCAGAAAGAATTCCCTGGAAAACGATGTAATTAAGTTAGAAATAAATAGAAATAATATTTGAGATTTTCTTACACTTCTGTAATTCTGGAAGTTTTGGTCACTGCCGCAGATGCCAACGGTCACGGGAGTTTTGGAGACTGCTTTCATCAGGGCGTCAGCACTGTCCTTTGTGACGTCTTTATAACCAGTGATCTCCACCACCTTATTCTTTAAAGAACAAAAAACAGCTATAATATGAAATAATTAGTGAAGTATACCAACCTTGTTCGTGTTGCAACTGCCTGCAAATCCTGTATATGGATAGGCCTCCTCCGTGGTGACACCACCGTTTTCCACCACGAACTTAAACGCATCGTCCGGAAACCCACCCTGGCATCCTTGGTCTACCGTGTCACAGTCTATCAATTGCTGCTCGGACAGAGAAACGAGCTCCTTCGTCGCCAGAAAGTGTGCACTCTCGATCGATGCAATCGCCGAGAAAGCCCAGCAGCTCCCTGTGGATCATGCGAATCACCCACACCCACAAAGGCCAAATAGAAGAGAGATTAGAAAGAAAAAGAAAAAAAAACGACGAGTTCTTATCATACCGCACTGGCCCTGATCTTTAATCGGTGTCACAGCTCCCTCCTGCCTCCAATCCAAGCTCGTCGGGAGGCTCGACACGTCCACGTCCACGTCCTTGGCCGGGCGGCGATCCTGGTAGCGCGGGGGCTTGAATTTGCCGACGTAATTGGCTCGGAACTCGGCATTTGTGAGATCCGAGAACTTGTTGAGGCCGAGCGTGAAGGTGGTGTTGGGCTGCGCGTTGTGCTTCTCGATGTACGCCAAAGTGTCGGAGAAGACCATCAGCCTGCGAGCCTTCTCCCAGTCGCTGCTGTAACTCTTGTCGTGCTTGGCAGCCCAATCCTCGAACATGTTCTTGATCTCTAGAGCGCGATCGCCTTCCAGAGCCGCTGGCCGCGCAATCGCAAACGGTGCTGCCCCTACCACCACCAGCAAGATCAAGATCAAAGCTATCATGTTGCTCGCCATGGATGATTGCTTCGCACTTGCACGAGTGAGCTTATATACTGAAAGTTTTAGCTTCGGGCCGACCCTGTAAAGATGACGGGCCCCATACGATATGCATGTAAGGTTTACGTTTGAGAGGTTCGGGATTGAACTATCCTTGCGATGGAAGCATGGAAAACACGTAAAAGCCCGTGAAAACATTCAACATTTCAACATTCAATATTCAACATTCAACATGCCCTTCCGTGTACGTTCCAATAGTTTCAGCATTTGAAGCTATATATTTAGAATATCCAAGTACGATATTCCTTAATGTAATGGTTGTGATTCCTCAATTCGGTTGCATTAATATGACTAAACAAAATTAGTCAAGGAATGCCCAAAATCAAGAAGATGAGCCATAGCCAAAAGCTTTGGTGATTTTCATTCTAGATGCATTGGAGAGTGGGAGAAGGATGCGGCTGGCTGGTTCCTGTGTGATTGATCATCCCAATGAATTCTTACAGTGTACCAAAAGATACAAAAAATCAAATCAAAGACGTATAAAAGGCTTTCACTAGCATATTTCTAGCATATCCACTATAAACCCTCGACGACGAACTTGCAATTCCAGTCGCCCTTCCAGGTGCGCCAGACCTACGCCGCGCTCCTAATGCGGCAGACCTACCGCAGGGGCGGTGAATCCACGCCCACATTGTCGCCAGTGATGGATTCCTCGGCAATCACCTCCTCAGCGTCGACGTGCCTGTTCTTGGCGAATGCCGCGATGATGAAGTTCCAGGAGAAGAGGCTTCTTCGCGGGAGGGCGTGGAAGACCTGGTTGGCGTTGGCTGCAAGGCGATCGAGATGTTTAGGAGCATGGACTCGGCGGGGATCAAGCCCGACATCGCTACTCTCTCCAGCGTCCTTGGCGCTTGCTCCAGCTTGAGGGATCTGGAAGAAGGCCGGAGAACGCGCTTGTGAGCATGTACGTGCAGGCTGGACGTTGCGAGGGCCGAGCGCTGGAGCTTTTCGAGAGGTGGGAAAGAGGCGCATTCGAGGCTCTCACCTTGAAGCCAATGTGTCCGTGGCCTCTGCGACCATGTACGGCAAGTTTGGGAAAGTCGGCATGACGAGAGATGGATCCAGCACAAGCTTGTTGATGAGTCAGAACGCTGCTAAGAGTCACCTTGTCCGGCTGCTCGAGAGCTTCTCGGTTCCTCCTGTGCTGAGTGTAGGCCACGATCAAGGCCGCCCAGGAGACCACGTCGTGAGCTCTCACTTTCGAGAGAATCCCATGGTGAGCGTAGGCTGTGATGACCCATGCCAGCACACGGCGTTCTTTGCCTCCATCCTCTCGCAAGCTTGCAGCGATCACACCACTGTAGCTTCTGGACAGAATGGACTATTCTGCGTGATAAGCTTCAAGAGTTTCTCTGTCCAGATTATTCTGTAGTATTGTGATCCAGGATGCCACAGATTATGCTGGATCCCATTGAAAACTTGTAGCAAAAGGAGTTAGGTCTAACTAGCAATATTTATAATAATTTTAATCATACTAGTATCTAATCTTCAATCCAAGAAAACTTTTTTTTTTCTAAAAATGTACTTATCAGGTTAACACCCTCTCTTTACTGCCACAATGGATACTGTTAGTTCCTTTATTAGCCCCTTTTGTCCAAATGGTAGTTAATTGGGTTTAGCATATGTACTTAGCTAGATAAATATAAAGTAATAATTCATATGTGTTGTTTTTTATTGAGCATACTTGGTTTGACTTTTAATTCTCTTTTGCTATATATCTTTGACTTATATATATTGTACCTTAATATTGTTATATGATACATTACTGTATTTATAAAGACACCCTCACTATGTTAGTATTGTTTTTGTCCTATATGTTATTTGTTGCAAGTGTTTATATCTACTGGAGAGGCATATTTATGGAATATAGAGAGCATCTTAAATACCATGATCATAATTTTAGCACCATTTCATATTTAATAGATTTTCAAAAAAATTCTAAAGACTAACCTATATGAAGCACTTTAGCTGTTGCATATGCACAATTTCTAGAGGATCAACTTATTAAATGTTATACTAAACCTCATAAACTTGTGGTCCAATTTACCATAATATTTAATACAGTCCATTCCACTAAATAAGGAGCCCTTTAGACAAACCACATACTATAAAATTGGGAAAATGAATTAACACTAGATTATCCACTTTATACCTTGTAAGTGGATGATGATGTGAGTTGTAGTATCATTGTTGTCCATGTATACATGGCTTAAATATTCAACAATTTTACTCAAAGTAGTGGATGGATGCTCATCAAATATAAATCCTAAGACTTAGCATTGGTAGCTCGTAGGAATCGCAAAGGTAAACTTAACTCCATTAATAGTATCGTATTATGACCATGTAAGAATTTTTATGGTGAGGCACTAATAAAACTCTATACCTCTGTGACATATGTATATCAAAGAGATGGTAAATAACCATCTTAATTTGAATGTTGAAAGTTTATGCCCTTCACAATCATCCCTTAATATCCAAACACACTTGGGCTAACACAATTTTGAAACTAATATAAAAAACATCCACACAATTAGAATATATCAAAACTGAAGGAGTCATTAATAACTCCTTTGTAATGCAGAAATGCCCATTTAAAGTCATTAAACTAAATGAAAGATGGTGTTGATGACTTTAGCAATAGTCAAAATAGTGCAGTACGATTAAAAATATGATCAATAAATAACCAAATTATTGCACATTTCTCAAGAATTATTGTATATCATTTATACACTTATAGTGAATAAACTTTATAGTCTTTGGTTCTCCCAACAGTTGCATTGCTAGTCTAGCTTGCCAAATTATGTTTGCAACCACAAAATTATCCAAAGCACTCATAAACAAGGTATATTCCTACCCCTAAATTTGAAATTGTATATATTGAGCATCCATGTATATATCTTCCTTCATATGGAGCATCCATGAATGAAGATATCTATTGTGGGATGTAATACAAATAGATAATTAGTTGCTTCACATGGAATAGTTAATCTATACAATAGAAGAATTGGTAGATTGCGAAAATAGAGGTGTTGGTTCCCTTTGGCTTAATAGGGGTTGTGGGATATAGTACAAGTGAATGATGTGATGCCTTACATAGAATAATTAGTTTATAAGATAGAAAGATTAATAGATTGGGGAAATAAAGGTGTTAATTCCCTTTGGCTCAATAAGGATTATTAGTTAATAATCAATGAGAAAATTGACATCTCTGAAGGGGATGATGATTTAAGCTTTTTTATTAAGTAATTGCCCCTTTTCCAGTTGTCTTAAGGGGAGAGAGATAAAGTGCACTACAATAGTATTACCTACTTAAATACTTTGCATGACTCATCAAAACCTCACTCAAAGCCACATAACTAACACACTCTAGTGGCAAAAGGTGGGAGGAGTACCCATGAAGCTTGCTTTAAGCCACATTATTTCAAAATGTTATTCCAAAATCTCAAATTGTAGAAAGGAAAAAGAATGGTTATTTTTGTTTAGTGATAAAGGATATAGTTACATGATGAAGAAGTCCCAAAGGTTAGTGGGACTAGTAGTCAGGATAGTAAGGATAATAAGTAGGTTAGGCATGGTTGATCAACCTAAGGTATAATTTAGCTCATGCTTGCATACTTATCTTTGTTTTGCATCTAACTTGGGTCTAAGCCTAATTTAAATACCAATTAGCATACTCATATCCTTGCAGTAGCCAATTGATATACTAAAATAGTGCCAAACTTCATGCAAAAGTCATCAATAACTTTTTGAGATATGCAAATGCCCATTCATAGTTCAAAGCTAGATAAAAGATGATGTTGATGACTTTAGCAATACTCACAATAGTGCAATATAATTAGAAAATTGATCAACAAAATGACTGAAATATTGCACATTGCCTAGGAAATACTATATATCATTCACATATTTTAGAGTAAAGAATTTTAGATAACCTATCATAATAGGGAACTTTAAAATAAAATACTCCCATTATGCTTCATTACAAAATAAGATTTATATACCTAAAGACTTTGAGACTTTTAGATAACACATTTCTCCAACATCTTCTTGACATTTGTGTATATAATTTTTGATTTTCTTTAATGAAAGACACTAGATAAAAATTTTAATTGGACAAGCATCCCTAGTTGGAGTAAGATTATGTATTGCAATCTTGGCTACAGATGACAAGTCAAAATCAAATAAATCAACATACTCTTTCTTGAACCAGTCAATTGCTATAACACAAAAATTGTCACTATCTAAGGGATTTGAAAAGGGAATAAAATAGCAAAAATAGAACATAATAGAAACAAATAAAAACACAAAAGTCATAAAAGCAAATGTAAAAGTAAAGGGATGAAATAGAATAGAAGTGAGAGGAATGGTATGATTGTGTTACAATTAATCTATACCAAGATGATGTCAAAAAATTGATTCAACACCACTTGCGATGATTAAAACTCAAACATATGCACAACTAGGTTTGCCTCATCCTGTGCATATGCATGTGTATAGCTGTTGCCATAGAAAAAAAAGACTAACTCAAGTGCATGATATAATTATAGACAACAACATGCTTAATGATAGAAAATAAATTCAAGCATATATCAACTAATATGGAGAGGATAATATAGAACCTTTTATTTTAAAAAGATAAAGTAGTCATTTATTTAATCGCACAAGGACCCTCCATTACACATGCATTCTAGAAGAGTCTATATGTTATTGTAATAGTGCCAACAGAACATTGTTTACGCTAAACTTCCACCTAGAAAATAGAGGATGCCAATCTAAAAAATGCTAACAACACTAATACTTATGGCTAATTTCATCATATGTTTAGTAGTGAACATCACGACCATGGACACAATCACGTCTTTACACTTGTCCTTGAACACAGGCAAAAGTAATGTCAACCTTCATTGGAATAAGATCATCTCCCACATGAAGTAGAGATGACGTATGTGTAGTGATAAATAAAAGAGGTGATATCTCATAATATATTATGTCAATTGAAAAGTATTATCAAAGGTGGTTGGGGCAAGTTTATACACAAATCTCATGAAATCTTGACAAAGCATTAACCACAACATTCCCAACTTAATCCACTCTAACATATTTGTTTCATACAAAGTTAAAAGCTTTGAAAGCAAATACTAAATTGCATAATTGACTCAAACAGCCTTAGATAGAGAAGATGGAGTTGCTAAAAAGCATTATTAGAATCATTAACATGAGTACTCAAATTGAAATAAAGAAGGTGTCTCTAACGAGTTTAGCATAAACTAAACAAAGGAAAGGGGAAGGACTACTATAAGTGGCCTAATGAATCTCTAAGTTGGAGATATTATACTTGTTAGAGGATAGGAAAGGCATAATGAGCATTCGGTGTCAAGCCATTAACGAACATTGGCTTGGTGCTAAGGATAGAAATAGTAATATATACTGGTGCGACTTTATAAAATAGTTTATCGTTTAATGAAGACATCAAACTTCGTGTATGGGTGGTGGAGTTATAAGACACAAATCCCTAAACCTTAAAGTGGAGCCAAAAAGGTGCCATATAATAGTGGCCAAAACAGAAGCCAAATGAGTGTCCAAAATGTGTACTTACAGATGTCTAGAAAAAAAATTTTATTTGCATTAGTGGTTACTTACAAATTATTGTACCACTGCAATGTTGTCCACTAAAGATATGTGGGAAACTCACATAAACACTATACATCATCCCAAGAATAATAAATAGCAATCATTGTAAAGTGATCAAACTAATAATATATATCATACCAAGGATTTTCATAGAAGAACTTTAGCCTAATGTGAGGATTAGGAACAAAAGTAAGAAGAGCCATATAATAAATACTCCCATCAATTGTGTCTGATTGTTTAATAGAAATCATGTCATTAAGCATTTGCTACTTTATAGTCAAAAAATGAGGAGGCTATTACTTTGGCAAAGATAATTAAAGTTGCCTTTCAACTCCACCAATATGAGTGCATGGAATATATATATACTTATATATATATAAATAAATAATATTAACCCAAAATTCGTAACTTATATATAAGAGTGAGTGATTCTAATTAAAGTGAATCAAACAGCTATCAAAGTCCCACTATACAGATATTGTATTCTAGCTGTATATTTGGATCTCATAAGCCTGACTTTGCTACAGAACTTTCAAGTGTATTTTATTATATTTTCAAATTAATTTATTCATTTAGATTAATATTGAATTTATAATTTATAAATATGTTTATAATTTATAAACATTACTATGTTTCATTTATTTTAACATCTAATGGTTGATAAATAATAAGATTAATCTTGTATTTAAAATTTACAGTTAGACTATTAAACAGTAAGCACTCTTGTTAAGCAAACCAAGCATGAGTGCATCAGTAAACTATTTAATAAACAGAATATTTCAAAACAAGTTCTAAAATAACATACTGCAATTAAACTTTTGAACTACTTATTGAAGAATCTTGTAATATATTTGTGATTTTCTTCTCAAATACATATCACACCCCCCTAAAATGTTTTCTTCAAATTCCATTTAGAAAACTTTGAAGTGTTTTGGCAATTCTTCAGCTCTCTCATATTTTAAATTTCTTTAGGTTTTTATATGCGTAAGTCCACATGAATGTAATGACCAATATATAGTGATAAAAAGATACTTGTACTTTAGTTTGCCTGTAGGTGTATCCGCTCCACCTAGCTCTGGATCACATAGTACCTAACTCTCAATCATGACTGTTTGCTGCTGCAAGCCTGCAGCTCTCCCTAGATCGTGATGCTGTGGCCATACCTAGCTCTGGATCTACTGCATAGCATAGTCAAAAGAGCAAATTTCATGGCAGTGTATAATTGATATATTAATATAAAGTTTGGATTATAAAGTGGTTATTTTACGAAGTAGTGGGGTATGATGACTGTCCGTTCATCCCACACATCCCTTCTCCATCCTTTTTCTTGATTTTCATGAATCCATCCTCCCCCCAGGAAGTTCCCCACGAGTTTTTGATGATCCAGTAGGGCATCCCACCTTCGGTTCCATATCCAATGACCAAGACCGCATGATCCCGCGAATTGCAGCACTGACCAGAAAGAATTCCCTGGAAAACGATGTAATTAAGTTAGAAATAAATAGAAATAATATTTGAGATTTTCTTACACTTCTGTAATTCTGGAAGTTTTGGTCACTGCCGCAGATGCCAACGGTCACGGGAGTTTTGGAGACTGCTTTCATCAGGGCGTCAGCACTGTCCTTTGTGACGTCTTTATAACCAGTGATCTCCACCACCTTATTCTTTAAAGAACAAAAAACAGCTATAATATGAAATAATTAGTGAAGTATACCAACCTTGTTCGTGTTGCAACTGCCTGCAAATCCTGTATATGGATAGGCCTCCTCCGTGGTGACACCACCGTTTTCCACCACGAACTTAAACGCATCGTCCGGAAACCCACCCTGGCATCCTTGGTCTACCGTGTCACAGTCTATCAATTGCTGCTCGGACAGAGAAACGAGCTCCTTCGTCGCCAGAAAGTGTGCACTCTCGATCGATGCAATCGCCGAGAAAGCCCAGCAGCTCCCTGTGGATCATGCGAATCACCCACACCCACAAAGGCCAAATAGAAGAGAGATTAGAAAGAAAAAGAAAAAAAAACGACGAGTTCTTATCATACCGCACTGGCCCTGATCTTTAATCGGTGTCACAGCTCCCTCCTGCCTCCAATCCAAGCTCGTCGGGAGGCTCGACACGTCCACGTCCACGTCCTTGGCCGGGCGGCGATCCTGGTAGCGCGGGGGCTTGAATTTGCCGACGTAATTGGCTCGGAACTCGGCATTTGTGAGATCCGAGAACTTGTTGAGGCCGAGCGTGAAGGTGGTGTTGGGCTGCGCGTTGTGCTTCTCGATGTACGCCAAAGTGTCGGAGAAGACCATCAGCCTGCGAGCCTTCTCCCAGTCGCTGCTGTAACTCTTGTCGTGCTTGGCAGCCCAATCCTCGAACATGTTCTTGATCTCTAGAGCGCGATCGCCTTCCAGAGCCGCTGGCCGCGCAATCGCAAACGGTGCTGCCCCTACCACCACCAGCAAGATCAAGATCAAAGCTATCATGTTGCTCGCCATGGATGATTGCTTCGCACTTGCACGAGTGAGCTTATATACTGAAAGTTTTAGCTTCGGGCCGACCCTGTAAAGATGACGGGCCCCATACGATATGCATGTAAGGTTTACGTTTGAGAGGTTCGGGATTGAACTATCCTTGCGATGGAAGCATGGAAAACACGTAAAAGCCCGTGAAAACATTCAACATTTCAACATTCAATATTCAACATTCAACATGCCCTTCCGTGTACGTTCCAATAGTTTCAGCATTTGAAGCTATATATTTAGAATATCCAAGTACGATATTCCTTAATGTAATGGTTGTGATTCCTCAATTCGGTTGCATTAATATGACTAAACAAAATTAGTCAAGGAATGCCCAAAATCAAGAAGATGAGCCATAGCCAAAAGCTTTGGTGATTTTCATTCTAGATGCATTGGAGAGTGGGAGAAGGATGCGGCTGGCTGGTTCCTGTGTGATTGATCATCCCAATGAATTCTTACAGCGTACCAAAAGATACAAAAAATCAAATCAAAGACGTATAAAAGACTTTCACTAGCATATTCCTAGCATATCCACTATAAACCCTCGACGACGAACTTGCAATTCCAGTCGCCCTTCCAGGTGCGCCAGACCTACGCCGCGCTCCTAATGCGGCAGACCTACCGCAGGGGCGGTGAATCCACGCCCACATTGTCGCCAGTGATGGATTCCTCGGCAATCACCTCCTCAGCGTGCCTGTTCTTGGCGAATGCCGCGATGATGAAGTTCCAGGAGAAGAGGCTTCTTCGCGGGAGGGCGTGGAAGACCTGGATGGCGTTGGCTGCAAGGCGATCGAGATGTTTAGGAGCATGGACTCGGCGGGGATCTGTTGTGGTGTAAAAAGGGATGGACATAACACTCATGAGCTCGTTCATTGTGTTCCGACTCTTTTTACATGACTCAAGGGACATGACTCATGGCCACGTGGACATGCCACGTCAGCTGATCGAGACTGACATCTCGACACTCCCACTCTGGCTTGATCAGCTGAGAGGATGGACTACCCCTCCCACTCAGCCGAAACAGATGGAGAGCAGACTCCCAGTGCAGCGCGATGGCGTTCAAAGGAGTCTCGAGCCAAAGCCTTCGTGAGTATATCAGCCACCATTGCCTCTGACTTGATCTTCTGCTTGCCTTGAAGGAGATGTTCAGTCGTGGATCGTTGCTGTTCTTCCAAGGCAAGAGGTTGGGCAATATTCCAGCAACAACTTTCCATTTTGGATTTGTTCCCACACGTAGTGGAAACGAATCTCAATGTGTTTCGTCCGAGAATGGAAGCGTGGATTGGCGGCCAGTGCAAGAGCACTTTGGTTGTTCGAGAACAGCACCATAGGGCCGGTGCAAGCAGGAATCTGGAGCAGGTCACGGCAGAACTGGGTCAACCAAATCGCTTCTTTGCTGGCAGCAGTTAGGGCAATGTACTCTGCCTCTGTCGAGGACAGAGCCACCAGCGGCTGGCGCTTACTGCTCCAGGACACAGCAACCCCATGGAGCAAGAACGTATACCCGGAGGTAGAGCGCCTTGAGTCCTGGTCGCCCGCCCAGTCCGCATCCGAGTACCCATGAAGTTCCTGTGACACAGCAGCGCCATAGTGAAGCTGCAAATGCAAGGTACCTCGAACGTAGCGGAAAATCCGCTTCACAGCTTGCCATCCTAGGTGGCAGGAGTGCCACTTCACTGATCCAGGTGTAGGCTAGAGGCGTGTCTCTTCATCATGTATATATATCTTTGATATTATATACGACTATCCTTGGGAGTCATCCACCATCGTAGCTTCTGCTCTCCTTCTCTTCATGGTATCAGAGCCCTGAGGGCTTCAGATCCAGGGACGATGGCGCTGGCCGAGGAGGAGGCTAGCGAGGATGACGATGAGCCACTGGACTTGGCTGAGAGGTGCCAAGATTTGGCACTGTGCTGTACTGAGTGCCAAGATAATGGCACTAGCGAGCTGAGCAAGGCGCTAGGGCGTGATCAAGCAGAGACCAGCCCAGAGGCGCTGTGGCGTGAGGCACTGGCCGAGCAGAGGTGAGCGCTGGGCACCCTGTAGGGTAGAGGCGCGAGACACCAAGGGCTGCAGGCAGAGGTGCGAAGGGATTGGAGTGCTGGGGCACTGGTGGACTGGACAGAGGTATTGTCCAAAGGCAAGCAGGAATGCTGAGTGCTGGGCTGTGAGAGGGCTCCATAGCAGAGGGAGAGAGCCGTTAGGACTCTGGCCGAGGAGGCTTGATCGAGGCTGAGACGATGAGGGCTGGCTTGAGGCACCAGAGCGCTGAGGTGTGAGAGGGCTCCATAGCAGAGGGAGAGAGCCGTTAGGACTCTGGCCGAGGAGGCTTGATCGAGGCTGAGACGATGAGGGCTGGCTTGAGGCACCGGAGCGCTGAGGTGTGAGAGAGCGACCCTGAGAGAGTGGTGCAAGGCACGAGCAGAGAGGCGTTGGCAGAGGCGCTGAGAGAGGAGAGACTGTGATCAGAGGCCGTGAACGAGGCGCTAGGGCGTGCGAGGCCCCGCAGAGACTCGCCAGAGGTGAGTGCCGGGTGTAGAGGCATGAGGCCCCGAGGGCTGGCCGAGCAGAGACTCCACTGGAGCGTTGAGTGAGGCGCTGGTGTGAGAAGGCACTGGCAGAGGTGCTGAGAGGAGGCACTGAGCAGAGACAGATTTCTGTCGTGGATGGAGTGCTTGGATGCAGAGGGAGAGTGATCTCAGATTCATGTCATCGAGATCGAGAGGGAGTGTTGAGTGTACGCTCTCAATGACATGATCCTAGGTGGCAGGAGTGCCACTTCACTGATCCAGGTGTAGGCTAGAGGCGTGTCTCTTCATCATGTATATATATCTTTGATATTATATACGACTATCCTTGGGAGTCATCCACCATCGTAGCTTCTGCTCTCCTTCTCTTCAGCCAATGTGCAGGTCCGGGGTTCTCGAGGAACTGGGAGACCATCCCAACAGCATAGGCGAGATCTGGTCGCGTGCCCAGCATCAAATAAACAAGACTTCCCACAGCTTGACGATATGGCACCGTGGCCATGTACTCACGTTCTTCCTCTGTGACAGGGGCCATGTCACGGCTGAGTTTGTGATTGACCTCAAGAGGTGTGGCCACGGAAGAGCAGTCCAGCATATTGAAGCGTTCCAAGATCTCCCTTGCATAGTGAGCTTGTGTCAAACTCAAGGTGCGTGCTCCTCGATTGCGTATAATTTGGATGCCAAGGAAATGGCGACGCTCGCCCAGGTCAGACATCTCAAATTCTTCACTCAGCTTCTTTTTCATCTCGTCCAGCAGGTGGCGGGTTTTTGCACCGAGAATGCAGTCGTCAACGTACACAGCAACCAGGAGAAAATCGTCACCACACTTGTACAGGTACACGTTTCCTTCCACTGCAAGAGGAACACACCCCAGGCTCTTGAAGAACGCATCAATGCGTTCAAACCAAACCCTCGGGGATTGTTTAAGCCCATACAGGGCGCGATTCAGCTTGCAAACAAGATGTTCCTCACCAGGTTTGACGAATCCAGGTGGTTGCTTGACGTAGACCTCCTTGTTCAACTTGCCGTGCAGGAAAGCAGTGCGAACGTCCAACTGGTGCAGTTCCAGGTTGTACTTGGCAGCCAGTGCAAGGATCACTTGCACAGAGGTCCACTTCACAACTGGTGAGTACGTCTCCATGTATTCCAAACCTGGAATCTGGCTGAATCCCCGTGCAACAAACCTGGCCTTGAACATTGCTACAGTTCCATCAGGTTTGTACTTGACTGTGTAAATCCATTTTGAGCTCACAAGGTGAGCACCTTCAGGTAAGGTTGTCTTTGTCATTGTATTGTTTCGCTCATGCGAATGCATTTCAGCATTCATGGCTTCTCGCCACTGGGCAGCATGAGGTCCGGCTAATGCCTCGTCAACATTCGCTGGAATGGGGATTCGCTCTAGATTAGCAGCCACGAAGTTAGCCTGGTGCGTTCCTTTCTTTTTAATTTTTCCAAAACTAAAGAAGGGACGAGATTGCTCAGCTTCCAGTTGCAGCCTCGATGGTACAGGAACTCGAGCAGAGCACCGTGGTTCAGGACATGCTGGAGGGTGGATCACAGGTGGTGGAACAAGTGGAGAGTCTGGGAGAGCTCCCACTGAAGTTGGCAACCTGCTTCCAGCGCACACTGAAGGTGATGATCCACGTCCAGCTCCCACTGAAGATGAGCCAAGGAAGAACTCAGGAGCAGCTTGAAATTCCTCATCGCCCTCGAAGTAAGTGTTCATCAGCTCTTTAGAGAAGCTAGGTGTTCTCATTGGAGGAGATTCTTGCAGAGGCGTAGCTAGAGGGCGTGGTGGCAGTGCTGGAGGAACCACCAAGTTACCACCAGCAAGAGCAAAAGGCAGCAACGGGACTTGAGAAGGAGCTGTAGTCACGTGAACTGTGTCCACCAGCTGGAGTTCCACAAAAGTAGGAGCAGGAACTTCAGCGCAATCCTTGTATAGCTTGCTCTCATCAAAGAGCACATCCCGTCTTTCCAGCAAAGTCTTGCGCTTGAGAGAATAAAGGCGATATCCTTTCATGCCTTCCAAATATCCCAGGAAAATGGATGGCTCAGCCTTTGACTCCAGCTTTCGGCGTTGCTTGTGTGGAACGTGTGCATAGGCAAAACAGCCAAAAATGCGGAGATGATCGTAACCAGGTGCGTGACCAGTCCAAAGCTCATAAGGAGTAGTCTTCCCAGGCAGGGCACGAGTTGGCAACCGGTTTCGAACATAAACAGCCGTGTTCACTGCCTCTCCCCAGAAAGCAGCCGGCATTCCCGCGTGAAGCAGCATACAGCATGCAGCTTCTATGATGGTGCGATTCACCCTCTCGGCAGCACCATTCTGGGCATGTGCATCAGGGACAGCATACTGGCGCTGAATCCCAGCTTCAGCACAAAACGTCTCGAATTCGCCAGAGACGAATTCTCCTCCACGATCACAGCGGAGCACACAAACTAAACAGCCGTGTAGAGTTTCTGCCAAAGCCTTGTATTGGCTAAAACAGGAGAACACTTCTGATTTATGAGCCAGCAGGTACACCATCAGGTACCGCGTGTAATCATCCAGGAAGGTGACTACGTAACGTTTGCCTCCCAAAGATTCAACCATAATCGAACAAACGTCCGAGTGTACCAACTCAAGAACAGAACTTGCTCGAGAATGAGAAATCTGTGGAAAAGGAAAAACGTTTCCACCAACACAAGCTTCGCAGACAGGAACATCCACCTTTTTTAGCTGTTGCTCGTTCACGTGACCAAGGCGCTGGTGCCAGGTTGCAAGTGTCGGTGGAACCCGAGCCATCAGCGCCACAGGTGGAAGGATCACGTGAGCATCCAGGCGGTAGAGCGTATCAACTGGAACTCCAAAAGCGACCTTGTCTCCAGTCTCGGCATCCAGCACGAACGCTCCCTGTGCTGTGAACAGAGTATCGAAGCCTACTTGAGCAGCAGTTCCAATCGACAGCAGCGTGTGTGTAAGTCCCGGAACATAAGACACAGGATAGATCTCCCGGATTTCTCCAGAAGAGAGCTGAACCCTGATTGTTCCTTTGCCTAGTACGTCGTGAGCAGAGGAGTCACCGAGTCCCACGGCGTCACTCTCACACGGTTCTTGGTAGTCAAAAAACAAGGAAGCCATGGGCGTCATATGGAATGACGCTCCAGAATCCAGCCACAGCTCTGGTCCGAGCACGGGCTGGTGGCTGCTGCTTGCAGAGCGAGCCATCAAGAGCTTACGAGGAGTCCCAGAGCCCTTGTCTTTGTTTCCTTTGTCTTTGTTCTTGGCAGCTTTAGCACGATCAGCTTTCTTCTTCTTGCAATCCCTCGCCAAGTGTCCAGGTTTGTGGCAATAGTGACAAATGCCACGAAAACCAGTGTCGTTCGGCTGAGCTTGAGAGGACGAGGATGATCCTCCCGCAGCGCCAGCATAAAGCAAGGAAGATTTGGCAGAGGGCATCGCTTCTTTCTTCCCCTTCATCTTGCGTTCCTCTTCAATTAGGGCACCCACGACTTGATCAAAGTTCATGGCCATGTGAGATAGAACAGATGCGAGCGTGCTAAACGCAGGCGTGACGGTTGCAAGCAGCAACGCCCTGGCGCGATCGTCCGTGACAGGAGACCCAGCACCAGTCAATTCAGCCATTAGCCCTCGAATCCGTCCCACGTACACAGCAATGGTTTCACCCGTTTCCATGTGAAGCGCCAAGAATTGTTGATTCAGCAGCATGGAAGAATTTGCGGCTTGGGCCACGAAGATCGTGCGAAGCGACGTCCAGATTTCAGCAGCGGTCTTGGTGAGATCAATCAGCGGCAAGAATTCATCGCTCAATCCCAAGCCAATGACGGTGATGGCTTGCTGATTGCGAAAATCCCAATCTGATTGTAGCGTCTGCTCAGCGGGACGAGGCTCAGTCCCATCAACGATGTTCCACGCTCGTTTCGCAGAGAGGATCAGCCTGATTCTTGTCGCCCATGTGAAGAAATTCGTGCCACTGAATTTCTCCACCTTCTCTGTGGAAGCCACGAGAACTTGAGCAGCAACCGGTGGCGGCGGCGGCGGCGGCAGCGGCGGTGGTGGTGGGGGCGGCGGAGGTGGTGGTGGGGTTGAAGCGGCCATGACAGCAACGTCAAATCAACCAACCAGGATCGTCCCCGAAATCCGATACCATGTTGTGGTGTGAAAAGGGATGGACATAACACTCATGAGCTCGTTCATTGTGTTCCGACTCTTTTTACATGACTCAAGGGACATGACTCATGCCCACGTGGACATGCCACATCAGCTGATCGAGACTGACATCTCGACACATCCAACGAACTTGACGTGGCCAGGTGAGTTTTCTGGAAAGTGAGCTCACGCTTTGGTTGTGGCCTACACTTAACACGGCAGGAACCGAGAGCTCTACAAGCAGATAGAATGGAGGCACCAGCGGTTCTGAGTGCCTATTCCAATGCTAGCGATTTGGAGCTCTGCATGCACGGCTCTTGGCAAGGAAATAGGGAAACATGAGACAGTAGGCATTGTTTAATTGGATGATTTTTGCTATTCAATTTTTTTTTTGTACCTTCTAAGTTTTCCATATGAACACGAGTGGAAATAAAGGTAAAGGAAATACCTCAAACACTAGTCCTTAAACTGGTGCCGGAGCTAGTGCTCGGCACAATGCCAAACCTGATGCCACTGCTGGTGGCGAGGAGACGCTCACTGCTGGTGGTGAGGAGGATCTTGGGAAATTCGTTGGCATGCTTTACCGGGAGATGGGGCCAAGAATGGTGGTGATGACACGCTCATTGGAGATGAGCTTGGGGCTGCCGCTGGCACGCTTATTGTGCCGGAAGACGACGATGGGGCCTATCCGGGGCTGGCGCCAATGTCGTGGTAGTGAACGCCGCTTCTTCGTGCGGATCCGACAGCTTCCATGCAGGGATCGAGAGATTCGCACCAACAAGATGGCGCCTACGGCACCGCATAAACTTTTATCCTTCTTTACTTAGGATGATTGTGCTTGGTTTTCTTGCGCAAATGATCCAGACACCCCGACGCAGCGAAGATGTTAACGTTGGAGAGCAGCACGTATGGAGCACTGTCCTGTCGATCCAGCTCCATAGCCTCGTCCGCCGCTCTCCTAGCCCGCTTCAAATCCCCGTGAGTTCTACACGCCCCCAGCAAGCTCGTCCACCCCACGCTGCCAGGATTAAACGGCATGCTGTGGAGCAAATCCTCGGCCTCCTCCAGCTTCCCAGCGCGCGATAGAACCGTCACAACGCACGAGTAGTGATCGAAAGTTGGAGTGATCCTGTCCTCGATCATCGACTGGAAGTACCACTTACACTCGTCGACGAGGCCGGCGTGGCCGCACGCCAAGAACACGCACAGGAAAGTCGGCTCCAGCGGTTTGTAGCCATGGAGCTCAAAGAGACGGTAGAACCAGAGCGTCTCGATGCCGTAGCCATGGTGAGCGTAGGCTGCGATGATCCCATGCCAGCACACGGCGTTCTTGGCCTCCATCCTCTCGAACATGGCCGTCGCGACGTCGAGCTTGCCACACTTTGCGTAGAGATTAAACACCGCGCACTCCACCGCCGTATTTCGCTCCAGCTCGGGGCTCTGCCTCACGGCCTGCTCGAAGATCGTCCTCCCGTTGTCGAGCAGCCTCGCGTTGGAGCAAACGCTGAGGATGTTGGTGATGGTGTAAGCGTCGGGTGTTACGTTGCTCTCGCTGACCATCTTGCTGTAGAGCTCGAGAGCGTGCCATGCATAGCCGTTTTGAGCATAGGCCGCGATCATGGCGTTCCAGGCCACCACGTCCGGTTGGAGCTGCTCGAAGACGTGGAACGCAGCGTCAACCCGGTTGCACTTGGCGTACATGTGGACGAGCGCGGTCTTGAGGCTGAGGTCGGAGCTATATCTGCTGCAAGAGACTTGCTCGTGGATCCTGTATCCTTCTCTCACGGCTCCAAGCATCGAGCAAGCAGCGAGAGCTCCAGCGAAAGTCCCCTCGTTGGCTTTGATCCCTGTGGAGCTCATCTCCCAGTAAAGCCGGATGCCTTCCTCCGGGAGCCCGAGCTGCGAGTAAGCTGCTAGCATCGCGTTCCAGCAGTTTGCGCTGGATTCGAGGTGCCTGACTTGCCTGAAAACTTGGCACGCCAGATCCAGCCTCCTGCACCTCGCGTACATGGAGATGAGCGCAGCCTGCACAGCCGCGTCCGTGAAGAACATAGAGTCTGTCAAAGCGTGAATAACTATACCTTCCCAGAGTGACTCCATAGCTGAGCACGCAGCGATGACCGCCAGCATCGTCACCTCGGTCGGCTGGACTCCTTCCACGAGCATCCTCCGGTAGAGCCTGAGAGCTCTTCGAGCGTCACCACCTTGGACGTAAGCCGAGATCAAAATCGTCCACGACACCACGTCCCTGTTCTTCATCCGCTTGAACACCGCCTTGGCTTCGCGAATCTCTCCACAGCTCGCATACATGCTGATAAGCGCGTTGAGAACTACCGGATTTTGAGAGCAGTCCCTCGAGGCAATGATCTCTACGTGAAGCTGCTCGCCTTTCTCCAAATCTTGGAGCTCTGCACAGGCGCTTAGAATGCTCGAGAGTGTCGACTCATCCGGATCCAAGCCTCGCTGCTTCATCATGTCGTAAAGATCGACAGCGGCCCTGCTGTATCCCTCCTGCTCGTAGGCCGTGATCATCGCATTCCACACCACGACCGCCTTTGTGTCCTTGCAGCTCTGGAAAATCTCACTCGACAAGTCCAGCCTCCCACACTTAACGTACATGTTGATGAGTGCTGCCACCAGAACTCCATCGCTGAATCCATCTTTCCTCGCCAAGAGCCGTGCATGCAGCGCCTGCCCGAGCTCCAAATCGCTGGTATTGGAACAGGCGCTCAGAACGCTTGTGAAAGTCACCTTGTCCGGCTCCATTCCTTCTCCCTCCATCTGCTTGTAGAGTTCGAGAGCTTCTCGGTTCCTCCCGTGCTGAGTGTAGGCCACGATCAAAGCCGTCCAGGAGACCACGTCATGAGCTCTCACTTTCGAGAAAACTCGCCTAGCCGCGTCAAGTTCGTTGCACTTCCCATACATGCTGATGAGAGCGTTCTGGACCTTGATGTTGGAGTCGTAGCCGTGAGCAACGCTGAGCTCGTGAAGCTCGATCCCGAGTTTTAGCAGTCGCAAGCTTGCAGAGATCCCCAGAGCAATCACCACCGTAACTTCATCCCGCTGGACTTTCTGCGCCACCATCTCGTGATAAACTTCAAGAGCTTCCCTGTCCAGATTATTCTGTGTGTAAGCTCCCAGCATCGCGTTCCAGGACACCACATTCTTGTGCTGGATCCCATTGAAAACTTGTCTCGCCATACCAACTTTCCCGAACTTGCCATACATGGTCACGATGGCAGTGGCCACGGTCACATTGGCTTCCAGGTGAGAGCCTCGAATACGATCGTGGATCCTCTTTCCCACCTCCCGATGATCCGGCAGCAAAGAACAAGCATTGAAAACGCTTGCAAAGGTGACTTCGTTGGGCTCCAGCTCCATCCTCTTGAAAAGCTGCAGCGCTTGCTCGGCCTCTCCTTGCCGAGCACAAGCAGCGATCATAGCGTTCCAGGAGACCACGCTCTTGCTCTCGATCTTGTCAAACACGACCCTCGCAACGTCCAGTCTAGAGCACCGCGCGTACATGCTCACAAGCGCGTTCTGTACGATGATCGAGGACGAGAGACCCCTGGCAAGGGCTCTGGAATGGATCTTCTTCCCTTCCTCGAGCGAGGAACAAGCTCCCAGGATCCCAGCGAAAGTCGTGTCGCTGGCTTTCACTCCGAAACCTTCCATCTCCTCGCAGAGCTGCCGAGCTTGGGCGCTATGCCCGCCCTGGGCATACGCCGCGATCATCGAATTCCAGCATATCACGTCCTTGTTCTCGATCCGATCGAACACCTCTCTGGCCTCTCGCAGCCTCCCACAGCGGGCATACATCTTCACGAGCCCAGTCTCCACAACTATCCCGCTCTGGAACTCGCCACTGGAAATCCTGCCATGGATCCTCCGACCTTCTTCCAGATCCCTCAAGCTGGAGCAAGCGCCAAGGACGCTGGAGAGAGTAGCGCTGTCGGGCTTGATCCCCGCCGAGTCCATGCTCCTAAACATCTCGATCGCCTTGCGGCCATGCCTGTTCTTGGCGAATGCCGCGATGATGAAGTTCCAGGAGAAGAGGCTTCTTCGCGGGAGGGAGTGGAAGACCTGGATGGCGTCGTCGACGCTGCCGCATTTGCCATACATCTGGAGGAGGTGATCGCCCAGGAATCCATCGCTGGCGAGGCCGCTGGCGACAATGTGGGCGTGAATTCGCCGCCCCTGCGGTAGGGCGGCCGCATTGCCGCAGTGCTTGAGGAGCGCGGCGTAGGTCTGGCGCACCTGGAAGGGCGACTGGAATTGCAAGTGGTGGAGATCGTCGTCGAGGCGTGCCAACCGCTGCAAGGAGGTGTCGGGAGAATCGATGATCGCTGTGCTGAGGAGACGCCGCCGCGTTTGTCCAAAGCTCATATCATTTCCTCCCCCACTGTTTTTTATTTTTTAGGGCTTATAGTGGATATGCTATGAATATGCTAGGAGTGGCCTCTTATATATAAATTAGGGTTTTTGGGTTAATATTATTTATTTTTATATATATAAGTATATATCTAATAATCCTTATTGAGCTAAAGGGAATTAACACCTCTATTTCTCCAATCTATTAATCTTTCCATTGTATAAATTAGTTATTCCATATGAGGCATCTAATCATCCACTTATACTACATCCCACAACCCCTATTAAACTAAAGGGAACTAACACTTTTATTTTCGCAATCTACCAATTCTTCTATTGTATAGATTAATTATTCCATGTGAGACAACTAGTTATCTATTTGTATTGCATCCCACAAATTATCTTTGTTCATGGATGCTTCATATGAGGAAAGATATGTACATGGATGCTCAATATATACAATTTCAAATTTAAGGGTAGGAATATACCTTGCTTATGAGTGCTTTGGATAATTTTGGGGCTGCAAACATAATCTAGCAAGCTAGACTAGTAATGCAACCGCTGGGAGAACTAAGGACTATAAAGTTTATTCACTATAAGTGTGTGAATGATATGCAATAGTTCTTGAGAAATGTGCAATAATTTAGTTATTTATTGATCATATTTTTAATCATACTACACTATTCTGACTATTGCTAAAGTCATCAACACCATCTTTCATTTAGTCTAATGACTTTAAATGGGCATTTTTGCATCACAAAAGAGTTATTAATGACTCCTTCAGTTTTGATGTATTCTAATTGTGTGGATGTTTTTTATATTAGTTTTAAAGTTGTGTTAGCCCAAGTGTGTTTGGATCTTAAGGGATGATTGTGAAGGACATAAACTTTCAACATTCGAATTAAGATGGATATTTACCATCTCTTCGATATACATATGTCATAGAGGTATAGAGTTTTATTAATACCTCACCATAAAAAAATTTATATGGTCATAATACAATACTATTAATGGAGTTAAGTTTACTTTTGCCATTCCTACAAGTTACTAATGCTAGGTTTTAGGATTTGTATTTGATGAGCATTCATCCATTACTTTGAGTAAAATTGTTGAATACTTAAACCATGTATACATGGACAACAACGACACTACAATTCACATCATCATCCACTTACAAAGTATAAAATGGATAATCTAGTGTTAATTCATTTTCCCAATTTTATAGTATGTCGTTTGTCTAAAGGGCTCCTTATTTAGTGGAATGGACCGTATTAAATATCATGGTAAATTGGACCATAAGTTTATGAGGTTTAGTATAACATTCAATAGGTTGATCCTCTAGAAATTGTGCATGTGCAATAGCTAAAGTGCTTCATATAGGTTAGTCTTTGGAACAAATTTGAAAATTTATTAAATATGAAATGGTGCTAAAATTATGATCATGGTATTTAAGACACTCTCTATATTCCATAAAAATGCTTCTCCAGCAGATATAAACACTTACCATATATAGCACCCTGGTGGTGGTAGGGGCAGCACCGTTTGCGATTGCGCGGCCAGCGGCTCTGGAAGGCGATCGCGCTCTAGAGATCAAGAACATGTTCGAGGGTTGGGCTGCCAAGCACGGCAAGAGTTACAGCAGCGACTGGGAGAAGGCTCGCAGGCTGATGATCTTCTCCGACACTTTGGCGTACATCGAGAAGCACAACGCGCTGCCCAACACCACCTTCACGCTCGGCCTCAACAAGTTCTCGGATCTCACAAATGCCGAGTTCCGAGCCAATTACGTCGGCAAATTCAAGCCCCCGCGCTACCAGGATCGCCGCCCGGCCAAGGACGTGGACGTGGACGTGTCGAGCCTCCCGACGAGCTTGGATTGGAGGCAGGAGGGAGCTGTGACACCGATTAAAGATCAGGGCCAGTGCGGTATGATAAGAACTCGTCGTTTTTTTGTTTTTTTTTTCTAATCTCTCTTCTATTTGGCCTTTGTGGGTGTGGGTGATTCGCATGATCCACAGGGAGCTGCTGGGCTTTCTCGGCGATTGCATCGATCGAGAGTGCACACTTTCTGGCGACGAAGGAGCTCGTTTCTCTGTCCGAGCAGCAATTGATAGACTGTGACACGGTAGACCAAGGATGCCAGGGTGGGTTTCCGGAGGATGCGTTTAAGTTCGTGGTGGAAAACGGTGGTGTCACCACGGAGGAGGCCTATCCATATACGGGATTTGCAGGCAGTTGCAACGCGAACAAGGTTGGTATACTTCACTAATTATTTCATATTATAGCTGTTTTTTGTTCTTTAAAGAATAAGGTGGTGGAGATCACTGGTTATAAAGACGTCACAAAGGACAGTGCTGACGCCCTGATGAAAGCAGTCTCCAAAACTCCCGTGACCGTTGGCATCTGCGGCAGCGACCAAAACTTCCAGAATTACAGAAGTGTAAGAAAATCTCAGATATTATTTCTATTTATTTCTAACTTAATTACATCGTTTTCCAGGGAATTCTTTCTGGTCACTGCAGCAATTCGCGGGATCATGCGGTCTTGGTCATTGGATATGGAACCGAAGGTGGGATGCCCTACTGGATCATCAAAAACTCGTGGGGAACTTCCTGGGGGGAGGATGGATTCATGAGAATCAAGAAAGAGGATGGAGAAGGGATGTGTGGGATGAACGGACAGTCATCATACCCCACTACTTCGTAAAATAACCACTTTATAATCCAAACTTTATATTAATATATCAATTATACACTGCCATCACAATACATTAGCAACTAGTGAAATTTGCTCTTTTGACTATGATATGCAGTAGATCCAGAGCTAGGTATAGCCACAGCATCACGATCTAGGGAGAGCTGCAGGCTTGCAGCAGCAAACAGTCATGATTGAGAGTTACAGAGCTAGGTGGAGTGGATACACCTACAGGCAAACCAAAGTACAAGTATCTTTTTATCACTATATATTGGTCATTACATTCATGTGGACTTACGCATATAAAAACCTAAAAAAATTTAAAATATGAGAGAGCTGAAGAATTGCCAAAACACTTCAAAGTTTTCTAAAAAGAAAATGTGAGTGATTCTAATTAAAGTGAATCAAACAGCTATCAAAGTCCCACTATACAGATATTGTATTCTAGCTGTATATTTGGATCTCATAAGCCTGACTTTGCTACAGAACTTTCAAGTGTATTTTATTATATTTTCAAATTAATTTATTCATTTAGATTAATATTGAAATTATACTTTATAAATATGTTTATAATTTATAAACATTACTAATTACTTCCAAGTATGTTTCATTTATTTTAACATCTAATGGTTGATAAATAATAAGATTAATCTTGTATTTAAAATTTACAGTTAGATTATTAAACAGTAAGCACTATTGTTAAGCAAACCAAGCATTACTGCATCAGTAAACTATTTAATAAACAGAATATTTCAAAACAAGATACTGCAATTAAACTTTTGAACTACTTATTGAAGAATCTTGTAATATATTTGTGATCCCCCTAAAATAGCAATCTTTACTGCTGTAAGAAACGGGGACCAGCATCCTTCTCCCACTCTCCAATGCATTTATAATGGCTTTACACAGGTCAATTTGTATTAGTCATATTAATTCAACCCAATTAGTCTTTTAAGTATATAACTTCAAATGCTGAAGCTATGCTTTGATGTTGTATTGTGTCAAGGGCATGTTAAATGTTGAAATGTTGAATGTTGTCACGGGAGGGCATCTCTTTTATGTGTCTTCCATGCTTCCATCGCAAGGATAGTTCAATCCCGAAACCTCTATAACACTGCCAAACGTAAACCTTACATACCTTACCCGGCAATTACCCGAAGGTAAAATTTTCACTATATAAGCTCACTTGTGCAAGTGCGACCATGGCAAGCAACATGATTTAATCTTGGTAGGGGCAGGACTGTTTGCGATTGTGCAGCCAGTGGCTCTGGAAGATGATCGCGCTCTAGAGACGATTGGACTGCCAAGCGCCGCAAGAGTTACAGCAGCGACTGGGAGAAGGCTCGCGGTCTTCTCAGACACTTTGGCGTACATCGCGAAGCACAACGTGCCCAACACCACCTTCATGCTTGGCCTCAAGTTCTCGGATCTCACAAATGCCGAATCCCGAGCCATGCACGTCAGCAAGCGCCGCGCTACCTGGATCGCCTCCCGGCCGTGGACGTGGACGTGTCGAGCCTCCCGACGAGCTTGGATTGGAGGCAGCGGGGAACTGTGACCCCGAATAAAGATCAGGGCGACCGCAGTATGATTAGAACTCATCGTAATTTTGGGTATCTCTCGTCTATTTGGGTGCGGGTGATTCTTGTGATCCACATGAGCTGCTGGGCTTTCTCGGCGATTGCATCGATCGAGAGTGCACACTTTCTGGCGACGAAGCAGCTCGTTTCTCTGGACACAGTAGACGAAGGATGCAAGGGTGGGTTATCGGAGAATGAGTTTCAGTTCGTGGTGGGAAACGGTGGTGTCACCACAGAGGAGACCTATCCATATACTGGATTTGCGGGCAGTTGCAACGCGAACAGGTTGGTATACTTTACTGATTATGTCATATTATAGATTATATGAAGAATAGCGGAGATCACTGTTTTTAAAGTCGTCACAGTGCTGACACCCTGATGAAAGCAGTCTCCAAAACTCCCGTGACCGTTGGCAGCGACCAACAACTTCCAGCATTACAGGAGTGTAAGAAAATCTCAAATATTATTAATTTCTAACTTATTTACATCGTTTTCCAGGGAATTATTTCTGGTCAATGCAGCGATTCGCTGGATCACGCATTGGATATGGAATCAAAGGTGGGATGCCCTCCTGGATCATCAAAAACACTTCCTGGGGGGAGGATGGATTCATGAAATTCGAGCAAAAGGATGGAGACGGGATGTGTGGGATGGACGGGGACTCGTCGTATCCCACTACTTCCGTAAAATATCAAATTTATATACCTTGTTCTTAATCCAAACTTGGCATGAGTCTTCTTCTTTCGCACTAGTAACTCGCAAAAACTGTCTGGGACAGGTTCTCTAGTGTCCTGCAAGAGTCTACTAATATCATTAGCAAGCTTCATGAACTTGACGGAAATCACCACCTTAACTCATACGCCAAATCAATTTGCTTATTTATTTTGTTAATACTAAAAAAAAGTTCTATTTAAAGATGGTATTCTTACGTTCTGGAGCAAAGCTCCAAGCCTGTGCTCATGCAATGGGAGGAATTGACCGATTCTCAGATGGACGATGGGATTCTAAGCTCTAGAATAAAAGTAATTTTTAAGATTTATGTAATTATTGTTATTAACTGTTTCCGGGATAATGCTGTAATTCCCTCTGCCCCAGCAAGCGCACCTTTTAAAGGAGATTTCGAGAACAAAAGGAGATAAGGAGTTTAGGAAAGAGTTTAGCATTTGAGAGGAGCGTGATGCGTCAACACCAAAAGCATCTAATTTTTTTCAAGAGGATATTTTATCCAGATCAAAATGAATGGAACTTGTTAACAAAAGTTGCCATAGCTAAGCGAAAAATATGAGAAGCACACTATCTGAACCTTGAGGTGTTTCTGCTTGCCCAAAAAACTTCGCCCTTTTGTTGTGGATGCCTTCACACGAAAACACAGAAAACCATGCACAATCATCCAAACTAAAAAGGCTGTATAGAAGTTTTCCCGCCCATTTCGTGAGCTAGGGATGCCAAATCTCCTGATCGCAGCATGCGGGTTGTGCGCACCAACGAATTTCTCACACGATCCTCACCACCAGCAAAGCATGCCACACCAACTACCAACAATGACTGTGCCATTAGCTTTCTATCTCCAGGTCTTGCCCCATCTCCCCCATCTTCGAGCGTCCCTTCTAAGTCCTGCGGCAGTGACAATGGTGGTGGAAGTGAGGGTGGGAGTGATCACGAGCCTCCATCCATGGATTTGCCTCCACCACCTTCCCCTCCAGTTTGGGAGACATGGGATTGGGGTAGCGAAGAGCCATGGTTGGAATGTCCCACAGAAAACGCACCAAGGTCTCAAGTGCCAACACAATCTCTATGTCCAGCACCAGGGTCTCCACCTTTGACGCTGTGTCCAGCACCATCTCTGGCACCCGCTCCAGCACTGCATTCGGCACCGGCTCCGGCACGAGCTGTGGCAGTGCGTCGAACATTAGCTCTAACACCAGCTCCGGGACAACCAGTGTTGGAGGTTTTTCCCATCCCACTCTTGCTACTCATGTTGGTCATTGCTTGAGCATACAGAAAACTTAGAAACTGAGAGAGCAAAGCACTACACAGCACGACAAAGGTTTCTGAATAATAACAATCAAAGTTTAAATAGTATCTTCATCTAGAACGCTCTCATCAGCAAATGTATGGGAGTGCAACGAACTTGACGCGGCCAGGCGAGCTCTCTCGATAGTGAGAGCTCGCGACATGGTCTTCTGGACAACTTTGATCGTGGCCTACTCTCAGCACGGGAGGAACCGAGAAGCTCTCTAGCAGCTGACTCTTACCAGCGTTCTAAGCGTCTGTTCCAATGCCAACAATTTGGAGCTCGGGCAGGCACGCACGACTCTTAGAAAAGATGGATCCAGCAACACCGTTGTGGTGGCGTCACTCATCAACAAGCTCGACTAGATTTTCCAGAGAACTAACGAGATTTTCGTTGGGCTCTACCTCCATCCTTTTGCAAAACTCCAGTGCTTGCTTGGTCTCTCCTTGCCGAGAACAGGCAGCGATCTCCAGGAGACCACGCTCTTGCTCTCGATCTTGTCAAACACGGCCGTCGCAACGTCCAGCGCGTGTACATGCTCACAAGCGCGTTCTGGATGATGATCGAGGACGTGAGACCCCTGATCCCTTCCTCGAGCGAGGAACAAGCTCCAGCGAAAGTCGTGTCGCTGGCTTTCAATTCGAAACCTTCCATCTCCTCGTAGAGCTGCCGAGCTTGGGCGGTATGCCCGCCCTGGGGATATGTCGCGATCATCGAGTTCCAGCATATCACGATGCGATCGAACACCTCTCTGGCCTCTCGCAGCCTCCCACAGCGGGTATACATCTTCACGAGCCCGCCCAGTCTCCACAACTAGCTCGCCACTGGAAATCCTGGCATGGATCCTCCGGCCTTCTTCCAGACCTCAAGCTGGAGCAAGCGCCAAGGATGCTAGAGAGAGTATCGCTGTCGGGCTTGATCCCCGCCGAGTCCATGTTCCTAAACATCTCGATCGCCTTGCCTGTTCTTGGTGAATGCCGCGATGATGAAGTTCCAGGAGAAGAGCCTTCTTCGCGGGAGGCCTGGATGGCGTCGTCGACGCTGCCGCATTTGCCATACATCTGGAGGAAGTGATCGCCGAGGAATCCATCGCTTGCGACGCTGCTGGCGACAATGTGGGCGTGGATTCGCCGCCCCTGCGGTTGGGCCCCGCACTGCCGCAGTGCTTTGAGGAGCGCGGCGTAGGTCTGGTGTACGTAGCTTTCTATTTTTAGGGCTTATAGTGACATTATTTTAAATTTTAACGATTATGAGTGGTACATTGATTATATCAGCAATAATTGAATCAATTAATAACATTTCTGATAATACTCCATAATACTCCATATTGTTCTGGATTTTCATTCAGAAGCCCAGACTTACAAGCATGAATTACTGTTATGTTATCTTAAATAACCACTTCCACAATATTATATACTAATGTGTGTAATTACATATCTAGGTAAACCCATAAAACTAATATTATTTAGCATTTTAATACAAAGAAAGTCATGGTTTTGATGGATAGATCTACTAATACTGAATTTGAAGAGATGAGGCAGTCATTGAGAAGCTATATGCAACTTCTTTCTGCTAGCAAACTCCGATCTCAAACACAATTAACACAAGGGCTACATGGGCATGCCATGCATTTTCTTTCTCCTCCCTCTTTGACTTTGATCTTGATAATAGATAGTGGATCATCTATGGGAACTTTGAAGTATGCCAGCTTGAGGAGGCAAAAACCTCTTTTCCTGCACTGAAGAGCCAGACTTAGTATCCCAGAACTCAATATGGTGGCTTATAGTCACAACAAGAAGATGGACGAAACCTTTACCTTCTTTTCATAGAACTCACTCATTATAGGATATACTAGCAAGGAATATATAATTAATAAATAATCTCTAAATGGTTTGTGAATGTTTTGAACAAAGCAAGAGCTCTATACACTTAGTAGCAAAAGATATATGATCAGCTAAAAAAGAAATACACTATCCAAATCATATAAGAGCATCCATAATTGA